ATTTTCGGCAGCAAAAAGGTCTATTGGATCTTCGTCTTTCTTTGTTTTCCAAAGCTTTTTAACTGCAATCAACTAACTGTTTGGCATCTCCGCCTTGTAAACGACCAAGAACAGCCTTTTTTAATAACATTTTCATCTCTTAAGCTATTCAAGATGTTTTCAATAGTGACGTTCAGCTTCTGAAACGGGATGAAAGTCCATGGATAAGAAAAATCCTCTTCTCCACATGAGTTGGACAAACCCGACTTCTCGATTACATATATGTGATTCCGAGACACTAGAATCCAGGTAACCACAACTGCCATTGTCACAGAAGCCAAAATCACAGCAACCAAAGCTATAGCAGACTTCAATCCTTTTCCTAGCCAAAATCACAGCAACCAAAGCTATAGCAGACTTCAATCCTTTTCCTAGCATCAAATGCGAAAAACAAGTAGTGCCATCGAGAGATTCACAGAGGCAGGAATTTTCAAGGAAAAAATTCGAGGTTAAAGTTCGAAAGAAAGGTGCCACGGGTATTGGAGCAGAAAAGTTGTCGTACGAAATTTTCAAGGAAGAGGAAACTTAAAATTGTGATTTTTCCATGTAGCATGTTCTGCTAGAGGTCTAGTGATTGCAACTATGTCAACCTGACATCGTCTCTGGGATTTCACAAGTGAATCGATTTGAGCTTAAATCAAGACTGATTGTTAAACTTGTCAAATAACCAATCTCATGCGGGATTGGACCAGAGGGACTATTGAAGCTCAAATCAAGAAGAGTTTGTTTCTGCAAGTTCCTAATGGAGAATTTCTCCAGTGACCATATTATTGTTTAGGATAAGTTGGTTCAAGTACCTGAAATTCCCAAAACTCCATGGAATCTCACCAGTGAAGCTGTTTCTACTAAGATCAAACTGCTCAAAATTAACAGAGGCCCACACCTGAGGCAGTCTATCACCTGTTATATAATTATTGTGCAAATCCAACAGCTCAAGAAATGTAATTTTGGCAATATCAGAAGGTAAACCACCAGAAATATTGTTCATATACAAATTTTGCAGTTGTCCAATCTCCTTTGGAATCTGACCCCAAAGCTGATTTTCTCCGATCTCAGTCTTACTAGAGACAGACATCTTGCTACACTACACGGTAATCCTCCATTTAAAAAAATTCCCAACAGCAACAGCTTGGTCAGTTTCTTTAAACTGAAAATCTCGTCCCGGATTGATCCTGTAAGCTTATTTCTTGAGAGATCAAGTGCATAAAGCTCAGTACAATTCCCGAAAGCCGATGGTATAGTTCCCGAAAATTACCCCACAAGAAAAAACTCTGCAAGTACTTCAATTCACCAATCTGCATTGGAATAGGGCCTGATAATTGGTTCTTATCGAGCTGAAGAGTAGTTAAACTAGTCCAGTTATTCAGTTCTCTCGATATGTAGCCCATGATTACATTAAGGAAATGATCTTTCCATGGAAATGAAAGAATCTGGATGACAAGTGAACCTGTTCAAGAACCAATAGTTGCCCTAATCGCCAGAAATTTCACCTGACAAATCATTTGCAGAAACATCAATGAAAAATCTAGGAACGCTCTAGATACTACTTGAAAAGTTACCTAACGGGTTGCAATGTCAAATTTTTACGTTCTAGATTTCATTTTAACCAATTTGACCTTACGTGCGGAATTAATCTAACTAAAGCAACAAGTCACTTTAATTAGTTGTCTAGGTGATTAATCATACAAGTGAATTAAACTATGTTGGAATGCCGTAGTTTGTATATTATGGAAAACAGTAAATAACAAACAATATGATGACAAAGAAACCCCAACGTGGATAAAACTCCAGGACAAAGTCAGTTACCTTCACTATACCAATTCAGCAAGTACAAGTTATACCAAACTCCGTACCAATCAGACCCACTGTTCCAGTCTCACGATCTACTGCTGTAGATACTTCTAACCTTCTGCTAGACTTCCCGATCTACTTCCTGCAGTCCAATCTGCTGTCCACTACAACCTCCTGGTCCTTAACTGATTGTATCACCAAGTGGAACACCAAGAACCACCCGTTCTTGTGCCTGTAACTGCGCCTCAATCCACTTCTATTAATCCTCCAATGAGAGAATCCCTTCCTCAATAAATTAAGAAAGTAAGGTGTTTTGGGTTATGCAGATTCAATGTTTTTCCCCAAAACAATGGTTGTCGGATCACAAGATTGATGCAGATGGAATCTCCAATTAATTGCACCTTAGATCTCTTCAAAGGTGTTATGAATATCTTTTGCAATGAAAGAATAATGTAGCAACCTCTCAAATTTCGTCCTAGGGATTGGGTATTTATATTTGAAGGTATCTAGGTGGTATGGGTCGAGTAAAACACTTCAAAAGCATGAAATAGAGTTTTTGCACATAGGAGTGTCGCTCAAGCGAGAGCCAGTGAGAATCAAGCAAGAGGTATTCTGTTTTTTTCGCTCGAGTCAAATGCCAACGAGAAGCGAGCGACTGTGAGCAGTCATCAATATTTTCATCATAACTTTTTCGTCTGATGTCTGATTGAGGTGATTCAAGTTGCATTGAAAAAATAACTCAAAGGGCTACAATTCTTGTAGAAGTAGCATTGTCCAAATTCCAATGTTTTCTATGTGAAAAATGCGTTACAAGTTATGACTGAAAATTCGGAACATAATTTGTGATGCTCTTTGATATCCTTTAGACTTCCAATTGCATTCCGATGATCTTGTGTGATCTTCTTGGACATCTTGGACTCTTTCAATGACTCGAACACTAATTTACCTCATCTATACAAATTGCACCCTAAGTCCCTGACTTTTACACCAATGTTCAATTAAGTCCATGATTTTTACAGTTATACAATTTAGCCCGTTTTATCAACAGAATCGCCAATTACACTTTTAGACCTAACAATCAGGAACAACAAGAGATGAACAATTGGAGAGCTCAGAGGGGATAGTCCCTGAGAGGGAATTACCCCCAACTAAGCATGCTTGTGAGTTTTTGCAACTTGCCCAGTTGAAAAAGGATAGGACCAGTGAGATTGTTCATGTGCAAATACAAGTTCCTTAACTCCAAACACTCGCCTAATTCTGGCGGTATTGAACCAATTACCTCTGTATCATAAAGTGCCAATGTTTGAAGATTGATCAAGTTGCCAAGGGTAGGTGGGATAACGCCAGAGAGTCCAGTGGCAGCAGCACCAAATGTTGTGAGATTGGTAAGTAGGCATAATCGTGAAGAAATTTCACCGGTTAGATACGGATTGCCACCGATTCTTAGATGTTGGAGAGAGCCTAAAGACCCAAGTTGGGACAGAATTGACCCGTTCAGGAGATTATCTTGAGTGCAAAGAAGGACTTCTATTGAAGAAAGATTGGCAAGTTGTTGTGGGATGCAACCAGCGAGTCTATTTGTGTTCGAGAATAGAAATTGAATTGCTGTTAACCGGCCTAATTTCAGCGTGTTTGGGTTGTGATGCCAATTTTGGTTGAACCCAAAAATAATTTGCGCTATGATGAAAAATTGGGTTTGGCCCAAATTTTAGATACTACATCCCATTGCCCGATAATACAATTGTTGAAGCCCAAGAACCTAAGCCCAAACTATAGGCCACGTGTGCTACTCCGGGACGTTGGATCTTCAAGTTGATATCAACGGTGGATGAGCTTTTGTATAAATACATGTCTCTTGGGTTGCCCTAGTGAATTCACTTCATTTTTCCGTCTCTTGAACTTTGTAGAAAGTCCGTCTTTCTGGTGGTCTTCTCCTTAGTCTTCTTTGTGTTTCCCTTGAAGTCTTTTATGATTTGGGGTTATTCTTTCTTTGTGATTGAGTGAATCTAAGTGATTCTTTGAGAGGAGAAAGGGTTGATATCTATTTTGGGATTTTTCCGAGCTGAAACTAAATTGCAATGGGAGTAATATTGGCATTTCAAGTCTTGTGATAAATTACTTGTAAAAATTGTACACTAACAAAATATTTGACGAAAAATGATTTTAATTTTCATGTAAAGAGACTGTGCTTCCAATGCCAATAAAAAGTATTCCATCCAATAGTATTTCACATCCAAAAGACTGCCGAACATTCAAGTTACAATTAAGAAAATATATAAATTCATGCTCATCTTTAATATGCTATAAGAATTCATAAGAAAAAAAGTAAAATATCAAACACCTCGCCTTCAAGTCTTGTTGCTATCCATTCATAAACTATTGTTAACATGTAAGACCTTTGAATTTAATTTGTAAGCGAGGTGGCGTATTGACTATTGAAGATTAAAACACCTCACGTTCAAGTCTTATTGCTATCCATTCATAAAATATGGTTAACATGTGAGATTTTTGAATTTAGCCCTTGTTTGAACCCCATTCTTTTGGAAAAATTCATTTTTAACAGTATTTTGACATCATTTCAACCACACATTCTTCACTAAAATAATATTACATGCAAATTCAAAACTTTTCCTTTTTTTTAACCACACATTTCTCATCAATACACTATTCAAAAATTCATTCTCCCCAAAATAATGGGGCTCAAACAAGAGCTTAATTTGTAAGCGAGGTGGCGTATTGAAGATTAAATCTAAATAAAAATATAAGAGAAAAATAAGGAGAAAGGTACATATATGCATTGGGAAATGTATAATTTAATGATAATAGGAGGGAGGCAGCTTAGGGGATTGTGAAAGGCAAAGTGGGCTGAATTAATCATGTTATATATAAAACAATTCAGTTAGTACTAATGTAAAATAATTGCTTATGGAAAAAATTATTTGGTCTAAACGACTAAGGTTTAAGGAAGGACGTGCATAAAGAGGAAAAATTAATAGGAAGGTTCATTTTTTAAGTTAAAGGTTGAATAAGTCATCATTTTACTGCCTATTGACACCGTGGTTTTTTTTCAAATATCCCAGGAAGGGCTGGTAGCCAGGTGTGTTTCAGGAGAGAGGGAGCGACCGAGGGAGAGAGCATAATTTACAATTTGTCGCTTGAAAGCATGGAAGTAAACAAAGAAAATCGTCCGACTTATAATTTACAATTTATTTTTTAAGCATAAAATGACATGACCGAATCAAAACCAATCGATTTTTGGTCAAGTCCGTATCCTTTTTAGCCGAGATAACCAATTAGGAAAAAAAAACAAAATTCTGTACTTATAGCATTGATCGGAGCAGCTCAGGGAGGAAGAAGCACGAGTAACACGTCCAAAATCCTCCTTTGCAGCTTTAGTTCCCTTTCTTTTTCAAACGGCAATGTCATGGATTTGTGGCATCGTCTCTTTCAAATTTGAACCATTTCCAGTTAGCATACAAAGTCTCTTCATTTTCAAAAGGTAAGCCATCCGTGGGAAGGGCTTCCACTTTGCGGGTTGCTGATATAGCTAGAATTTTTTGCCTGTACTTCTTTGCCATTGCTTCCGCTTCAGAAAATACTTTCTGCAACAAAAGGGGAAAATATGCGATATGGAAGTGAAATGGATTGTTACGATATGGAAAATATTGAGCAAGTGAAATGAATTACTTAATTTTAAGTACCTCCTTGTTCGATAAAAATAGACCTGGTTCACTTTCGAGGTCAGCGATACTGCATAACATAAGAAATAAATCTAATTAGGAAATAAGCACTCATGTAGCAACTACTTGGAATCAGCAAGAGAAAAATTCAAGATATAAAATGCATTTTGATTGTTCAATTGACTCTGTTAAGATGAATTCGCTGAGAGAGCAAGCACATTCAGGAAACTGCAAATAAAATGCCCCAATTACTTGAGTAATTCTCATGGCAACCTACATTTGAAAAAATAAATTGGTATATCTGCAAAATGGGAATTCTTAAAAGTACGGAACAAGGGAGAATCAAATCCCAAGCATAAGAGGAAGTCGAGATATCCCGCCCTCCCCTTCAAAAAGGAGAGAATTCACAATGTTATGGGGCCTACACTTGTTACTTCTTTACTTCCCAGTATTATATCATTTTACTATTCAAATGAACTTCGGCAATGTTACATTAATTATCACTAACAAGACTTGTACTGCTCTCAACATATTCTCTACCCAATGTTGCACGGACACTCCTACCGGTGTTGTGCGTCCATGTCCAACATGTGTCATGTCACGTCTGTCATCAACAATCCTCGGAAATGCATGAATATTTTTCCTTACTCTGACAGTTTAATATCTAGTTTAACTTAAAGTTATTTCAATATAACAAATACCTACTTAGCCTATTTATAAGATTTCATGAACAAAGCGAAACTAAGGACAGAATTAATTTCATTAAGACATAAATATGTTACATAAATATAGAATATATTAATCTACAATTTTAAAGATTTAAATAACGTGTCCTCGTCCTACGTTTTTTGAAAAATCACAAGTCGATGTGTCCTTGTCCGTGCAATATAGCCTCTATCTCTATTTAAAAAATCCAAAATCTTTAACAGAATCAATTATCTATTCTAACTTCTTAACATCTGTACCAAGTAAACTAGCATCATTAGCAAACACATTGAACAAGAGAGAATCAATGTACCTGAGAGAAATTTTGTCAGGAAACATGGACTTCACAACCAAAACTTTAACCTTCTCATCAACTGCAAACAGGTCGGTGAGAGAAGTTATTCTGCCCTTGGTGATGTTTGAAATATGCAGCAATCCACTACAAAAGGATAAGAAAATGAGGAGGTTATTCAAGTAATCACAAAGAGGACAGCAGGAAAGAATTTTCAGCTGTACACAATTAAATTAATGCCCTTGATTATCTATTTGTAAAAATTTTATTTTTTTATCCACTCTTCAGAAGAAATGATAACAAAGTAAGGAAGGAAGTGAAAACTATCCATTAACTTTAGAAAAATATGACCATGAGTTAGCTTAGCGTTAACTTTTCCAACCGATTATAAGAGGTTGCAAGATTTAGTCCTCCTTTGGTTGATTGGTATACTCGATGAACCAGAATAGGTTTGTGCAGAAAAATAGCAGAAACAAACCAGAAATTTAAGTTTATCAAATAATTGTTAAGTATGACATTCATACTGCTTATTGAAATGTATCAACCAAACCATTTCCTTGAAATTTCCTCTACTTTATCATTTTAACGAAGACAATTACTAAAGAAAACATTGTCTTCCAAAGTTTTGCATATAATCAAAATTAGCAGTTTGTATTTCCTTCATTAGAAGAATAGGCAGATTTATTTGTTTGCAGGCAGCACAATCCGACTTCAAATTTCTTCACATCTATAATAATTAATCTAACTTTTCTTACCATCAAAAGAAAAGAAAGGGGAAAAAAAAAGGAAAAAAAAATGAAATAAGCATGTCGTGACTTATCGGATCAAGTGGCAAACTAAATTGTGACAGATATTTTAGTACTAATATACCTCCTATTGGTATCGCCAATTCTTATCTGAGCACCATACGGAAAGATTTTTCTCACAGTTCCTTCTAGAAGTGTTCCCTCTTGTAGATGCAACATCCCCTATCACATAGCATAGCCAAGCAAAAACCATCAAGGAAAGAAGTAAAACAATGAAATTAATATTGAGAATACCCATTAAGAAAAATAAGAGCCCCAAATAAAAAGATGGAGGAAGTGATGATTCAAAGCGAGAAACTAACCCAAGCTTCCTTCTCGCTGAGTATTAAATCATTGGTATCTACATTTATTCTGGTAATTTGCACATATATTCGCCGTCCGACCTGCCACATCATGAAATAAATTATAAATGGCTAAATGTCATAATGCAACAATATACAAATGCATGGGCAGAGAAATTTAACAAGCCAAGAGATACCTGGGCAATAGAATACCTGGTGAATGATAATCGGCAAACACACAAAAAATATTGAAACATTGACCATTAGTTATGATAACTATGATGTTTTTACCAAGGACGCTATCAGGCTAAAAAAGAGAAGTTGCTATGACTAATAGTTAGTCTTTATTCATCTCGATCATTCACAAGGAAGGTGAACTGAGGTGACATTTGGGTCTATGTTATTTCGCTCAAAAACATGACCTTGGTCAACACAGTGGTACTTCTTCCATATAAAAATTTCTGAGGGTGAAATAGTCCAAGATGGTCCCTAAATGAATTTGAAATTCTCTTAACGGTCGGGGTTATTTGAATGCTGCTTAACTAGGTTTTTACATATTTGAAAAAAATACTGGTTTTAATCCATGGCCTTATCCTTACTTATCAAGCCAATGGATTAAAACATGCTAGGAGATTCTGCTGGTTATCCTTGCTGAATGCAGATTTATTTTCAGAAATATACTCTGCAAACAAGTTATTAATTTTGCATGCTAGTAACTGACCAGACAAGAAGTTGATAGAAATGTCTATACTAATGTATGGAACACAGTTACTATCCGAAGGTGGGGGGGGGAGAGGGAGAGAGAGAGGTACTTCTATTCTTGTAAGGAGACCACCAGTGTTCCACTCGGTTATTTTGACCTCTATTGGCTCATTGAGCTGCTTAATCTGCACAAGATAAACAATTTTACACGCCAGTTCTCCAAGAACAGTAGAAGATGTGCACTTAAAAAAATTCCATTGGAACCGTAAAGATAGAAAATGAAACGTGAAAGCTTTGTATAAATAAGCTAACTAGCACATTAGCATCAAATACCTACCCAGATGTATCAATAATCCAACAACCTCCATGAACCAACCTCTCTTGACTCTTTCATAGGATCATCCAATCAATGTCACTGTGAAAAGTTAAGTGATAACTCAAATTTATGGCATCCATGATTGCCTAAAAATTTGTAAAATCAGCTCATCACATAGGCTCCATTTGGATCTTGAATTTTAGTGATAAAAGTGCTTTAGGATCCAGAAGAAATGCGAAACTTTTATGAATATAAATAAGGAAGATATTTTGCAGTTTATACACTTATTTCCATAATATTCAAGAATATTTGAAATTCCATTTTATTCCCTTTAAAAAAAATGAAAAAATAAAATTGTTTTTATTGATTTTGCTATATCAGTTATCTTTACATTTGAAATCTAGGATCTGGATGGAGCTGTACTGAATTCTTATTTCAATTTTGGTTCAATTGCACCGACTATTACCAAGCATCTTCCTAACTACTCCAGCTATCTGGGTCATGCATCAGTAAGTGGCAAATGAATTCAAAGGTGGCTGCACATTGAGCCTGACAAAGAACCGCTTACGACTATAAGTCCACTCACAATAGAAGGGATTGATGGGAAGAACTACTGTATAAACTGCAAGCTTTTGATCCATAAGAGTGAATAAAGTAGTATTATTTTATTTGCTCAGCCAAGGACCAGTATCCTCAATTGATTGTCCAATTTCTCATTATTCAAACGTTCAAAATCTAGTGAAACTCTAAAATGCAACTTCATCTATTAGACAACTCGGTGATATTATAAGAAAGCATTACCCATTCATCTTCCTATATTAACGATTATATTTCTTACCCAATTTCACGAATACTAATTCCAAATATTTTCTATCAAAATTCTGATATAATTGCTTAATTCTAACCCATTATTAAATCCAAATCCAACACCAATGCATCATAACTGTCCAGACTAAATAAATTGAATATAATCAAATTTCTACAGTAAAGAACAGAGAGAGAGAAAAGAACCTGCCTCACTCGGTGCCAAGCAATGCGCCTAACGAGCCTTCTGGTTGAAAGCAATGGCCGGCCACTAAGAGTCCTGCCAAGAACCTCAGCAAAAAGAACAGTTCCAGGCTCCACAACAGGTTTCCCAGGCTTCAGTTCCTCATTCACTTCCTCATCATTCCTCACTATCCCGAACTTCCCTCGCACCATAAAGCCCTCCACATCCTTCTCCACATCACACAACAAATGCTCCATCCCCTTGTCATACAAAGGCAACACCTCTTTTGTCAGCATTATTCCTAATAAATCTGCACCCACATTCACATCAAGCTTATTTTCATTCCCGGAAACAACTAATCCCAACACTAAATCTCCAGGTTTCGGCTCATAATACTCTACACTAACTTTATTAGAATCCTCCTGACTAGAACTCTCAATTTTACTACCTTCCAAATCATTTTCTTCGTCAGATAGCCTAAAGTACTTGTAAAAAGTCTCCAAGACTTCATCTTTATCAGGTTTCTGCGGTTCAATTTCCCCTACTTCTTCAGCAGACCCATCATCTACTTGCTTTGGAAATGGCTTGTTAAGTAACTCGAGCTCTTCAAACTCGTTTTCAGTCTTTTTGGACAAAAGGGTATCTGTATAATCCTCAAAAATTCCATTCTTGGAACAAAAAGGAACACGGGTTCTCTTATTTGGTAACTGTAAGGAAAAACACAAGCCTCTCCAAGATTTTGAAGGGAAATTTGGGGTTTCGGCAAGTGGGAATTTTAAAGAAGCTTTTGTTCGAATGGCAGTGGAGTAAATAATCGGAATCTTGAAGGATAAGGATGGGATGAAGTGTGGGAAGGAGTTGCTTACAGGATGATGAATAGGGACTGGCATGTCTCTGCTTAAAATGCGCACCCCTCGTGACCGGTTAATGAAACCAGTATTGCTTCTCTGCCGCTTCTTTTTATCAGGACATGGTGCTTGCGGCCGGGGCAAGTGTGCGTCGACAGAGTAATAACTCAAAATCCATCTTCTGGCTGGAGAAGAGATAGGCCTGCTCAAAAAATATGGGGGAATTTGGCCCAAGCGTAACTTGATAATATATTTGGTTAAATGGCCTTTGATCAATAATAAAAATAAATAAAAAAGTGTAAAATATTTTAATTGATAAAATGACAAAATTTTCATATAACTTTTCTCATTTCATCTTGTCATTTCTTCTTTAAATTCACCTTAAAATCTTAATTTTTTTTTTTTAAAATAACGTCCTCTTCTTCTTCCTATTTTCATCTTCTTCAATTTTTTATCCTCAAAATTACAATCACATATTTTCTTTCTCTTCAATCATCATTCTTACTACCCTAAAATTACGTTCTTTGTTATATTCTTCATTTATTTTGAGTATCTTATGGATAAAGGAAGATAATCTTAGAAATTGCATCTATGTTGTATTTTATTATTAAACAATATTTAGTTGGTATTATTATCGTATTTAGTGTGTTTTTTTGTATTATATGCAACCATTGGATGTGATAGGACTTCAATTGCTATATGAAATACAAAACATCACTCCGGTCGTTGTCTGAAAAGTAAACGACATTACAGTCGTTATCTACTGCAATTTAATTTTTTCAATAAAATGACCTCTAATAATAGATTCGGTAACGTATATAATACAAAAAAGATTGACTAGTTACAAAGAACGATTGAAATGACATATTTTATATTATTGAAATGGTAAAAACAAAAGTCATCACACTTATATGTGTCGATTAAATTAATGAACATATCTATCAATTTTTGTATGTGTCATGTACATATTACAACATAAATAAATTTCACTTATTATTTTTAAGGAACAAACGGACCGTAACTGCTTATACTCGTATTTATGCACATAACAGCACAAGTATCGTTTTCGTATCCAGTAACGACACTTGTGTCGTTCTGAAAGTTTCACATATATTCGATTTTTTCAACAAAACAACATTCAATAATGAACTCCCTAACATATGTTATTGACATGAAAATGTTTATACTTCGTTAAGGGTCCAATGTTTGAAATCATTGTACTAGAATAAAATCAAAATACAGGAGAAATCAATAGAACGGTACAAGAGCCGTTACTGAAATGAAACGATCATTCCGTGTTCTATCTATAAATATGAGTTGAGAAATATGCTCATTAATTGTTAGTCTAACCTTTCAATGTTGGCACAACTGCCGTTATGATTGTAAATTTACTTATCTATGAGAACGACACTTGTGCCTCTATTAAGATGAGAACGTCTATAAGAACTATGTAGCTATCATTATGCTTGTAAATATAATTATCTATGAAAATGGCACTTGTGTCATTGCTGAGATGAAAAGTCTTTGAGAATGGTATTAACGTCGTTATTGGAATTAAAAGTTCTAAGAGAACGGCATAAGTGATGTTATTAAAATATAAACTTCTATTATTACTGTGAGAACAACACAACTTAAGTTGTTCAATTCGAAAAGTCGTAGCTTTGGGAACAAATGAAAATAAATGAGAAATCAATACAACAGCTCAAGTGCCGTTACTGATAATAAAATGGTATTTGTGCCATTCTATCTATAATTACGAGTTTAAGCAGCCAAAATCGCCCTTAAATCAAGAAATAATAGGTTGAACACAATTAAGTTGCAAGGTGGACCTAACATTTAAAAAAATTAAAAGATATGCTCATTACTTTTATTTTGTTGAAATGTCATTGAGAACGACACTTGTGCTGTTATTTCAATCGTTCTTTATCACGTGATTTATTTTTCTCGCGTACTTTACAGATCCAATGCTTGAGGATGAAATGTCATTGAGAACGACACTTGTGCTGTTATTGAAATGAAAAGTTATAAAATAACGGAATAAGTGCTGCTTAGAGGATGAAAATGTCATTAAGTACGGCACTTCTGTTGTTTTTGAAATGCAAAGTTCTAAAAGAACGATACAAGTACGGTTGTCAAAATATAATTTCTCCATGAGAACGGCACTTGTGCTATTATTGAAGAGAAAACTACACTTGTGTCGTTCTATCTATAAATACGAGTATAGATAACCCTGAAACTCATTTCAACTACAAGATGGATATGTCGTTTACAAAAATTGAGAGATATTCTCATTAATTATATTTTCTACGAATCAATACAATGACTTATGATTTCACCAACTCGATATCGTATAACTTATGTCAATTCAATCGTTCTTTGTTACGTGATCAACCTTTCTAACTTTCTTAAGTTAGGGGATCCATATTTGAGGTCGCTGCATTGGAAAAGAAGCAAAATATTTGAAAAATCAACAGAACGACACAAGAACTGTTAAATAACACTTGTGTCGTTCTGTCTATAAATACGAGTATAGGAGTGGACACTTTTTTCCAGAACCGATAGAACCGGACCGAAACCGTTTAGAACCGGCGGGTTCGGTTCCAGATCTTCTAAAAAATAATTTGATTTCGGGACAAATTTTTAAGAATCGATCGATTTCGGTTTGGTTCCCAATTCTAGTATGGGAACCACGGGAACCAGACGGTTCTCATTAGATTTTTTTCTTTTTTATAGGTAAAATATATGACTCAATCTCCAACATTTTTATAAAAAATAATCAGTTTCCTTCTTAATTTAAGACTCCAACACTTTTATTTTTCTCTCTGACTCTTTCTTTGTCTCTTCTTATAATTCTTTGATTAACTGATTTTCAAGCCAAATTAGAATATTGGGTAAATTGATACCTAAATAAATTTATTTACAATATATAATTTCATTTATAAGATGCGAAATTTTTATTTTGTTTTCATTTTGATTACATGATTTTTATTTTGTTTTCACTTTGTAAATCTATACCTAAATAAATATTTGAATAGTATGTTCGGTTCTTCTATATTTTGTTAAAAGTATCACGTTGGTAGTATTTTTAGAGTTTATTATTAGTGAACATTTTATTTTGACATTTTCAATATACAGAACCGGATCGGACCGAATCAGAGTCGGTTGGTTCGATTCCACAGTTAACTATGGAACCAATGGTTCTATTTCTAAAATTCGTTGGTATTCGGTTCGGTTCGGTTCGATTTTCTTAGAAATCGAACCAAATCGGACCGAGCCCACTCCTACACGAGTATATGTAGTCACGACCCATCTATGCCCCGAGAATCAATAAGTTGAAGTCATTTCAATTGCAATATGAACATTCCGTTTACAAAAGTTAAGAGATTTGCTCATTGATTATATTTTTTAACGAATCAATACAATGACTTGTGATTTCACCAACTCAAATGTCGTATAATCTATGTCAATTCAATCGCACTTTGTCACGTGATCAACCTTTCTAACTTTCTTAAGTTAGGGGATCCATATTTGAGGTCTTTGCGTTGACAAAGAAGCAAAATATTTGAGAAATCAACAGAACGACACAAGAGTTGTTAAACGACACTTGTGTCGTTCTATCTACAAGCACGATTCTATGTAGCCACGACCCATCCATGCCTCAAGAATCAATAAGTTGAACTCATTTCAATTGCAATATGAACATTCCATTGACAAAAGTTGAGAGATGTGCTCATTGATTATATTTTCTAACGAATCAATACAATGACTTGTGATTTCACCAACTCAAATGCCGTATAATCTATGTCAATTCAACTGTTCTTTGTCATGTGATCAACCTTTCTAACTTTCTTAAGTTAGGGGATCCATGTTTAAGGTCGCTGCGTTGAAAAAAAAGTAAAATATTTCAGAAATCAACAGAACGACACAAGAGTTGTTAAAGACACTTGTGTCGTTCTATCTATAAACACGATTATACGTAGCCACGACCCATCCATGTCTTAAGAATCAATAAGTTGAACTCATTTCAATTGCAATATGAACATTCCGTTTACAAAAGTTGAGAGATTTGCTCATTGATTATATTTTCTAACGAATCAATACAATGACTTGTGATTTCACCAACTCAAATGTCGTATAATCTATGTCAATTCAACCTGTCACATGATCAACTTTTCAAACTTTCTCAAGTTAGGGGATCCTTGTTTGAGGTCGTTGCGTTGAAAAAGAAGTAAAATATTTGAGAAATCAACAGAACGACATAAGAGCTGTTAAATGTCACTTGTGTCGTTCTGTCTATAAGCATGATTATATGTAGCCACGACCCATCCATGCCTCTAGAATCAATAAGTTGAACTCATTTCAATTGCAATATGAACATTCCGTTTACAAAAGTTGAGAGATTTGCTGATTGATTATATTTTCTAACGAATCAATACAATGACTTGTGATTTCACCAACTCAAATGTCGTATAATCTATGTCAATTCAATCGTTCTTTGTCACGTGATCAACCTTTCTAACTTTCTTAAGTTAGGGGATCCATGTTTGAGGTCGCTGCGTTGAAAAAGAAACAAAATATTTGCGAAATCAACATAACGACATAAGAGCTGTTAAACGACACTTGTGTCGTTCTGTCTATAAACACGATTATACGTACCCACGACTCATCCATGCTCTGAGAATCTATAAGTTAAACTCATTTCAATTACAATATGAACATTCCGTTTACAAAAGTTGAGAGATATGCTCATTGATTATATTTTCTAACGAATCAATACAATGACTTGTGATTTCACCAACTCAATGTCGTATAATCTATGACAATTCAGCCATTCTTTGTCACATAATCAACATTTCTAACATTCTTAAGTTAAGGGATCCATATTTAAGGTCGCTGCATTGGGAAAAGAAGGAGAATATTTGAAAAATCAACAAAACGACACAAGAGCTGTTAAACGACACTTGTGTCGTTCTGCTTATAAATAGAAGTATACATACCTACGACCCATCCATGCTTAAAGAACGAATAAGTTAAACTCATTTATGTTGTAAGATAGACATGATATTTACAAAAATTGAGAGATATGCTCATTAATTATATTATAATGAACTAGTAGAATAACTTATATTTTTATCAACTCAATATCATAAGATCCAATCATTTAAATCATTCTTTGTCACGTGATTTACGTTTCTATCTTACGCACATTAGTGGGTCCAATGCCTAAAGTTTTGAGTTAAAAAT